ACACGGAGCTGGCCGGCCGGCACCTGCTGTCGCACGGCGAGCACACCCTGCACAGCCTCGCCGTGCTCTGCGACGACCTCGACTGGCCCCACGTCAGCTGCCTGGAGCGCGCCGTGCGGGCGGGAGCCGCCGCTGACTGCCGCCGGCGGGCCGCGGGCACCGAGGACGGGGCCGTGTTCCCGGTAGGTCGCCAGGAGGCCCTTCCATGCCGCCTGCGTTCGCGGAAGGCCCCGTGGGGTCGGCCCGGCTCCGGGCAGTGGACATGCGGGAACTCAGAAGCACCCTGACGGCAGGCCGCGGGCGGGACGGCGGGTGCTGGCCGCTCACAGCACCAGGGACCTTCCGGGGCCGGGCGTTTCAGGTGCTGCAGGGCCCGGGAAGGGGGTGCTGGGAACGGGGTGCTGGGAGGGCGATGCTGTGGACCTGGCTCTGCAGGGCAGCACACTTGGGGGCCTGGGGAGCACAGCTGTCCCCCAGCAGCGGCTGCTGAGGGCAGACCACACAGGTGCCGAGTCGGGCTGTCTGTGTGACACGGAAATGACTGGACGCAGCCTGGGGCTTCAGTCAGGTGTGAGGCGGACGGACAGACACAGAGACCAAAAACGGAAAGACAGAAAAACACAGACACACAGAATGAGACACATGGGGAGAGGAACAGACGGGGAGGGGACACGGGGAGACAGGCTGGGTTCGGTCCATGTGGGTGAGCACAGCTGGGGCACACGCACGAGGAACAAGTCGGGTCGCGGCTGCAGCTGAGAAGGGGCCGTCCGTGGTTTGGGGGGAGGGCTCAGAACACTCCCGAGGGACACTGCAGGAGCCAGGCTGCTCTGTCCTTCAGAGAAAGAGGGACAGGGACATGGAGGGGGGAGAGGGAGAGAGAAGGAGAGACAGAGACAGACAGACAGACAGGGACGGACAGAATGAAAATGCAAAGCTGCTCCGAGGCCAGAGCTGCTGGCGCGGTGGGTCCGCACCACCCCTCCGTGCTGGCTGTGCCCCAGAGCCCTGACCCCACGCACCGCAAGCCTCGGTGACACTGAGATGCCTGTTACCAGGCGCATTTGGAAGGAGTTGCCGCTGCCACGTGACCCCCCGGCCCATGCAGCCATGCTTGACGCCGCCCCGCCCCAGCGTCCCCAACGCCCAGCCCAGCTCTGCCCTGAGGCTCCCCACCCCGCGAGCCCTGCCGAGCCCCCACCTGGAACGTGCCAGCTGGGAGCACAGGCTGGGTGCGGGTCGCCGGCCTCAGCACGGCCACTCAGATCCTGCTCTGGTTTAGGACGCCAGCCAGAGCCCGGACAGAAAGCCGTGGTTCTCAGGAGCCACGCATGGCCTCGCCAGGCTGACCGCACACCAGGTGGCCACGGCCTTCGACCTGTCCCGATTCAGCTCCGCCTGCACCCTGGGAGGTGCGTACACCCCACAGGAATCCGTGCCCGTGGCTCTGTGTGCGCTTTGCTCATATTAAACCGCGGGCCCGTGACCTGTTCATTAGACTTGCAAAATGGTTTATATCTTAACAAACCCTAAGGACCCCGTGAGGCCGGGGTGGGTGTGGGGCTTGGGCACATGTTCCCAGCTGCTAGGTGGTTACGGGGCCCTTCCTGGTGCTTGCCGAGTGGAAGAGACAACCGTGGAGCCCTGTGTCCCATGCCCCACACACTGCACCCCACCTCAGCTCAGGACAGTGGGCAGAGGAAGAGCAGAGGCCTGCCTAGGGCGGTCGTGGGCTCAGGGTCCGGACTGGACTTCTGAGCTGCCAGCTTGCATTTCCCCATCCTCTCTGCACGCCCTACTGGTGGCCCAGAGTGTCTGCTGTGGCGCCGGCCATTGCGCCTGCATCCCACAGCAGAAAGAAGGGAAGGGTATGGACCTTACAGCTTTGCTGTAAGGATTCCCCTGTGAGTCTGCACCCGCTTCCCCAACACTCTGCACCCCGCTCACCTGCTCACACACCAGGTGACGTGGTCTTGACCGTGGATGGCCCCAAGGCTGATATGAGACATCAGCCATGGCTCCCACCAGCTGGCTGCATTTCATGGCACTGGCCTCAATGCACTTTTCTAGAACATCGTTTTGGTTTTGCTGAGGGCGAACACCTCACCCCGGGTTTTTCTGAGGCCCGGGAGGGGCGGGTCGCAAAGCATGTCTCTGCCACCCACAGGCTGCATGGGTGCCCTGGCCCACGAGCTTGCCCGGGAGTACCCAGGTCTGAGGGTGACCGTGTTCGACCTCCGAGAGGCCGTCGAGCGTGTGGCTTGTTTTCAACCCACCGGGCAACCGACAGAGCAGGTCAGCTTCGTGCCAGGTAAAGGCTCCTGGGTCTTTATAGAGGGGCGGCCCTTGGGCCACCTCACTCACCTGTGATGCTGAGTGTGTCTCTGCGTGTGTGTGTGCAGGGCGGTGTGCATGCTTGTGTGCGTGTACATGTGCAGTGTTCTTACTCCTGTGTGTGCAGCCGTGGTTCTGTCTGTGCCACGGATTGGTTCCAGCACCCCCTCAGACACCTACATCTGCACACGCTCAAGTCCCTAAATAGAAATGACAGTATTTGCACGTTCCCTCAACACATCTCCCATAGCCCTTGAATCACGCCTAGGTTGCGTATAACTCAAATGTTGTACAAATAGTTGTTACACTGTATCGTTTCAGGGATAATGACAAGGAAAGAGGTCTGTACCTGTTCAATACAGACATCACCATCCCAGCCGAACTAAGCAGTAACAATGTAATGTTTGCTGACAACGTAACTCAAAAAATTGTTTTCCGTTGGCACGACTTTTCCATGGCTGTAAAAACAGACCACACAAACAGATGGCGCATAAGAACGGGAATGTGCCTCCCCTAGTCTTGGAGATCAGTAGTGTGCCATCCACGTGTCCCAGGGCCTCGCTCCCTCCAGAGGCCGCAGGAGAGGGTCCTTCCTGCCTGTCCCAGTGTCTGGGGGCCCCAGGCGTCCCTGGGCTGGTGGCCGCGTCCCTCCTATCTCTGCCTCTGTGTCCAGTGGCTTCTCTGTGTCTGTGTCTCTCCTCTTCTGTCCCTTATAAGGACACCGTCACCGGGTCTAGGGCCACCTGCTCCAGGAAGACTCATCTCATGGATCATGTCTGCAAAGACCCTGTTTCCAGACAAGGCCCCGTGCTGAGGTTCCAGGGTTACGACGTGGATGTGTGTTTTTGGGGGGACATGGTCTCCCCCACGACAAGCAGCATCTGTATTCATTTCCATTGTGAGAGTGGCACCTCCTATGTCCGTCAGGTGGGGGGACCATTTCTTGGGTCCCTGACGAACTTCTTACGTTTTGTATTAAACCAGGTGACTTTCTGAAGGACCGCCTCCCGGAGGCAGACCTGTACATCGTCTCCGGAGTTCTCCAGGGCTGGCCCGACGACAAGGCGCACGAGCTGCTGAGCCGGATCTCAGGCAGCTGCCACCCAGGTGAGGCCACATCGCCGAGGCCCCTCCCTCAAACGGGAAGACGGTTTTTATTAAAGACACATACACATAAATCTCACAGAGTAGGTCGCCCCAGCCACCGTCTGGTGCTCGGCTC